CTATATATAAATTATGATTTTCAATATATATTTTTCATCTTCTCTTTTTTTTGAAAGGAAATAATTGCAGTGAAATGATATTTTGCATGTTTTTTCTTAATGAATATCGTGAAAAATATTCTTCTAGATAGATTATAATGAAGTTAAACAAACGATTAATTTTATAACAAAATTTCAAGATTGTTACAAATGTGTTGTCATAGTTATTTCATCAAAATTTATTAAGCCAATCTATCTCATGCTTACGCAAACACTGGCATAGCCGTCGTTGTTTTATTATTCAGCATGGAATTCGATCAGAATTCGTTTGCTTTTCATTCTTTTTTGGGCATGCAAGTTTTTTTAACGATCATCAAAAACATGATTGCATGAATTCATGCCGATTCGTCAAATAAACTTCTCTATCCGTATATTATTTATTTAAGATACTTGTTCTGTTGCTTTTGCTTATTATTCTTTAAAAAAAAAATAATTTTTGCCAATCAAACAGAATGTATGTTTCATTTTATCAATTTGTTGAAAATAATATTTTTCTTTTTAACATATGTATTTGTCATACATAATGATGAAGGACATTCAGGATAAGAAGAGCGAACGATCAGCAAAGTTTAAACTTTTTTTGAAGCAGAAGTTGTTTTTGAGAGTGTGAGGGACTAAAAATTTAGCAGAAAGTGTAAATATTTTTTATAAAATGTCTTCATCCGTTGTTCTAGCACATATTAAAGTCATTGGCTTTCTGTGATCTATTGTCTCAGAGAGAATGTATTTGTATGCATATCTGTTAGAAAATATTTGTGCGTAAGAACAAGAGTTTAAGGAAATTATTCGAAGGATATGTTTCTCTACGAGGAAATCATAAATACAATAAATAATTTTTTTAGTTTGCTTTTTCTTTCTTGATCCCTTAATTTAAAGCATGCACATCGTTCGTCTTTGAATGCCCTTTTTCTGTCTCTACTCATTTTTTTTTACAGAGCTATTTCTTGTCATTTTCTCTTTTTTAGGGGTTACTGTTTTAGTTTTGAATTATCAATGCTTATCCATATAATAAAATAATGATATGACTATGTAACAATTTATATTGATCTCTTATCAGCAAAATTGGATATAATATATTTTATATATGTGAATAATATATTACAATTGATCATAAATTATCAGCGCATATTTTTTTACGAAGACTTTTTTCTAGCAACATTCTGTTATTGATTTGTGCTAAAATTGAAAGCTTTCAAACCCTTGAGTAATAATTTACTTGGCAATCGAGAGATTATCCAAAGTTACGAAAAGATTTCATCGAAATTCGCCTCTTTAAATATAAAACATGTTGCTTAGAATAAAAATCAATTCATATTAGACGATAGCTACGACAAGGGCAATATGAAAAACTCCAATACAAGGCAATAGTCTTATATTTTGGAAGAAGCTATAATCGGTTTCGATAATTAAAAATTTGTTAATAGCTGTTGTATATTCATAACATTACTTCATTAGATTTTCTATACATAATAATTAACAAGTAACGCGACTTTTTGGTTGCTAAGTCCTCTACTGAAAGGAGCACAATGTGATAAAAGCACAATAGCATGGTTAGTTCCAGAGTCTTAGACTCTACTCAGTGATCTCTCTGATGTATAAGCATTGACCAATGATCATAATATGATTTGAAAAAAATGAGATATTATCATTCTCAGTGAGCAACTGCACTATAATCCTTATTCTTTCACAATCTAGAGGGCTATATTAACACATAATATTTTATCAGTTTTATTCTCACTCATTGAATAGCCACAGCCGAATAGAGCTGATTGATACATAATCACTTAATTAGGGTGGGTGTGGTGTGGATGTGGGTGTGGGTATGAGTGAAGACCAGATCTATACTCACACCCACACCCTTTCATCATCCAAACTAAGAATTTCACAGTATGGGGTAGTTATAATGTGCGGAGCGTGATATATTTGAAGTTCAAGATATTTTTTTGTTTAGATCTAAAAGAAAAAAACATAAGAATTATTTATATTACTTTTTTTTTCTTTCTTTTGTAAATTTTGAAGCCATAAGTTCACAAGTGACACTCGTCTGTGCGACCCGCTTAACCCTCGACTAAATGTTAGAGATTAATCGTTTATCGGCACTTCTCTCAAGCCTTACTCATAGTCACTTGGTATATTATTGCAGAACATCAAAATAATCATGGATTATTCTGCATTTGCCTTACGCGCTGTGAGTTTTCTTTGAAAATTCTTTTAGTATTACTTCTGTCGATAGAGAAAAGTACGATTTTTTCACACAAAGAACTATTTGACTTTGTGAAAAATCTGACTTAAGATTTGGATTCCCCGACCCCGATTTACTTTCGTCAACCTTAATAGAAAATTTTCTAAAGTGGAAGTTTTTTTTGACTCCGATGCAAACACACAAACCATTTTTTTTCATATGACCCTCCCCACAGTCAAGAGAATAAGTTGTTGTAGAAATTTGTCAATAGAATTAAGATCACAGTTTTCGTATGACACTTTCCACTAGAGCAAAAATTAGAGTACGTAACTCAATGTTTCATTAGGATGCAAGATTCTAACGATCTCATAGTTTAGGTTTGGTGCATGTACCATATGGCTAAAAAATAATTTTTTTCTTCATTTATTGAAAATTTATTATCTGAAAGTCGTTAAAGTTCAGCTTTGATGTTTTGATTAATAGCTAAATGTATTTACAGTTATGTCTGGATCTGAACTATTTACTGTAGCATATTTATTCAATAGAAAGACAATATCAATGATTTATGAGTATAGAATGATTAGTAATAATTCATTCATTCATTCACATTTTAATGAATGTAATTTATGTACATGTAAATTTAGATAATGATGAAGGAAAAATAATAGATTAGATTTGTGTTGATCAATGAACTAAACTACTTGTATTCATTTGAAAATGTCAAATCGTAAAATGAGACTATTTTTATGGATTTTGTTCATTTTCATTATAAGTTCTCCTCATCATGGTTATGTTCTTCTCTATGAAACTCAGACTCAGTATCCAATCGAACGTTTTGATTGTGTCTACTACTCAAAAACAGGAAGTGAGATTTTAGCTTATTGTAGGAGACCTAGTCTATCTGAGTCTCATGCTCCTAATACTTATGACAGATGTCAGAACGATGGAAAGCAATTGTACTTTACTGATTTAATTCGAGAAAGTATTTCACCTCATGTTGTATTGAAATGGAGTTCGAGTGTTGAGATGGCTGATCAATATGCGCACTCCTTTTCCATGAATTTTACACATCACGTCTACTTTCTCTGTAATTGTACAAAACCTGGCACATTTGGCAAATATTGTCAGTATCAATTAACTCATGGCACTGACTCATTTGAATCATCTGTACATGCTCAATTTGACGAATATGAGAATTCGAATGAATCTTATGGTTGGGGAATTCAACATCACGGTCAAATTATTTGCTACGAGACTCTATCATGTAACTACGGTTTATTATGTCTCAACTGGCATGATATTTGCGACGGCGAACAGAATTGCATCGATGGACTAGATGAAGAAAATTGTGACAAGTTGGAATTTAATGAATGCAATCCAGGAGAGTATCGTTGTTTGAACGGCATGTGCATAGCTGAAGAGTTTTGGTTGGATGGTAGGTTGTAGTGATTTTATGTCAATTAAGATCAATGTGATGGTTTTCGAAACAATGTATATTTCATATTAAAAATTAGAAAAAAAATGTTTTCTTCAGATACAAACGCACTACTAAACTATACAGATTATTTAATATGTTTGTAGTTTAGAACTTTTATGTAAAAGAAGAGAATGGAATAAACCTATTATCATTTATTTGATGCGTCCTAGTTTCTATAGAAGTCTCTGAAAAACATTTTCAATTTTTCGTTTCTAAGATCAATCTTCTTCATTTCTCTCAGAGACATGAAGAATAGGCCCACACATACGAACAAACATTTGAGAATATTTTAGACATATTATTGGGTTTGAGGAACTTGTAAAAATGTCTGTCTCCTACAAAGTACAATCACAAAATTATTAGAGTCTTTTCTTATTTTACATCGTAGTTGGCTTTGAATTGGATTTATTCACCATGTAGCTATATTGATGCTTAGGATTCTGAAGGACTTTGTTTTTATATATTTGATCGTTATACTGTCGAAGAAAATGTTTAGGACCTTTTTCAGTGGAAGTTTTCCTTTTCGCCTACCTCATTCATGACTCTTGCTTAAAGATATGTATGTTAAAGTCTATGTTAAGTTTTTCTAATTGCCATTAACGGAAAGACTTCTTTCCTATATTATTTGTAAGATAGTCAAGGCATTTCAATATCCTTCTTGAAATTCAAATAGCTATAATAGATTTTAAATGTTATAAATGGTATATTTTGCACACATGAACAATTATATGATAGCTATCAATACTAGAAAAACTAGATGTTTTACCGATCCTGTACTCAAATGACGAACCGTGTCAATCGCGTGTGAAATCCTCAAGCTTAAAAATAAAGCATCTTTAAATCGTCAACATAAAAGTCATTAAAAAACTTAAGAGAAACTCAGTTTTATTGAAAAGAAAATCTTATCAGTGAAGTGTGCGATGCATTAAAGTTTATTGTCAAACTATTTTCAAAATCTTTGGAATACTCAAATATTATTTGTGGAATCAAAAATAATATGCAATTAGTTATAGAGTCTCGATCTCAGTGTATCCTCAAAAGTACACGTGTGTTCATGTAGATTGTTTCTTCATCCACGTTCTTACTTAGTCTCTTCATATACAAAGAACTTCTTTTATTTTCTCATTTGTATAAACTGCTTTCTAAGCATAATTGCAAGACCGAATTAGATTCTTCGTCTTTCAAAAATTCAATTCTTCGAAGCATTTCAATTCAATGCTATTATAGCTTTCTCTTTGTTCTATTGAATCATAATATTTTTTCTGAAATTCTTGTTTTTTATTTTTAGGCGAACCCGATTGTATGGACTGGAGCGACGAGAAAGTAAGCACATATACAGCTTATTGGTGTGGCTCATTACCATCAAGTTTCGAATGCGAGGAACATATTTGCGGCTATCGTATCTTGTGGCCTTGTGGTGATGGTGAATGTATTCGAATATCACATCGCTTTCCATTTCAGAGTTTAGTACAACCAGATCTTGATTGTTACAATCTTCGTAATCTGTATTTTATGTGTGAAGTCAGTAGAAGTCAACGCATAAAATTATGGACACAAAAAAATGGCATGTGTACAAATAATCTTTCGTATGATATAGGGCATCCCAACATGGAAGTAATATCTGATGAGTCAAAACAAGAAATATGTATCTATTTGATTCGATGTTCTCTGTCAATAAATCTTCATTGCCCATGTAACGCAACTAATTGTAGTCTTTTAATGAAAAATTTTTGTGAGAAGGATAAACATTATCCATACCCGACTGGTGCTTTGATTCGACCATATCTTTCAACTTTATATGATTGGCAACACTTAGATCTCACACCAACTTTATTTATTCTAAATGGTAGCATCAAGTGTCGTGGTTATCGTGCATTTGCTTTTAATAAACAAATACCTTTAACTTTGAATATGGTGAGATTTAATCGTCTTGATTATCTTTTGTGTCTTTCCAATAATACTGACTTGTTCTCTGTCATTCAATACGATAAATCATGTTGGAAAAATTCTCTTACTTTCAATGGTCAACCATATGCTTTCTATGATATTTGCAAAGAAACAAGAGAATGTATTTCGCAATATCGTATTTCGAATCAATTTATCGATTGTCCTTATATGGATGATGAATCAATACGTGTCGAACAAGATCTTTGTTCGAATATCCGAGAACATCGTTTTCGTTGTTCAGAAGATCAGTATTCTTGCTTAACCATCCAAACATTAGGAGATGAAAGTAGTCATTGTGATAATTATTTTGATGAAAATTTGTACGGTTCTGGACCTTTTCTTGGTAGTATTCTTTGCGAGAATGGAAATACTGATAATTGTGGTTTACTCAAAAATTATATGAGGAAAAAAGAGAACGTTAGTATGTCGATTACAACACTTACCACCAGGATACGATTTCGTGCTTATTGTGATGGTGAATGGAATCTTGGCGATCATGTTGATGAATCTCCAGTCTATTGTCTTCTGTGGACTTGTCGCAAGGATCAATATCAATGTAAAACAGGTCAATGTATTGAATTGAATTGGGTATGCGATGGAACTTGGGATTGTTCCGATGCCAGTGATGAAGAAGCGCTCAGCATTAATCAGCCATGGTCAGAACATAATCAGAAAATAGAAAAAAAGTTAAACAATCGAAAGAAGCTATGTGAAGAACGTATGAAAATACAGCCATTCTCCAATAAGTGTAATCTCTTACAAGAATATCCATGCTATTTGAATAATGTGGCAAAGCCACTTGATATCGTGAAAAATCGTCCATGTATTCCATTCTCACAAATAGGTGACGGAATCGCAAATTGTTACAATGCACTGGATGAAAAGAATACATTCGATGGAGGTGACAGTCGAATGAAAGGATATAGACTTCAATGTCATGATGATACTTTCTTACAATATCCATATGTTTGTCAAAATGATACTTGTTTCGATCCAGTACTCTGCTCTTACAAAAGTCAAAATGTTACATACTGCTCTGAGGTAGAGGACGTTCTCTGTCTCGACGGTTCATGCGCTCGAAATGCACGATGCAACGAACAACTTGACTGTCCTTTTGGAGAAGATGAATATTGGTGTCAACCGAAAGGACTTCCTTCTTCTTTCTCCTTCTATCGAATTACAAAGAAATGGCTACCATCTCAAGAACAAATCGTTAATTGGCCTATCTTTCCATCCTCAACACCAAGCACTAAAACGTCGAATTCTCGTCGTTCATTATCAAATAGTTCACTTTATGCTATATCATTCATGTGTAACAGAGGCATTTCTATATTCGAACAAAATAGTGTTAGCTGTTTTTGTCCACCTGCATATTATGGAGAACGATGTCAGTATTTCAGCGATCGTCTTACGATTATTGTTCAAGTAGATTGGACCACTTTTTCATCGTTGAATTTAAATGACACAGAATTTACTGTTGAAGTACTTTTTCTATTTAATAACGAACGAATCATTGATCGTCATGAATTGCATCTGGATCCTATAATTGGTACAAAAAAATACAAGTTTTACTTGCTCTATTCTCGATTTAAGAATATGTTGCGACATAAGCAAATGCGATATTTTAATAGAACTTATATTGAAAATGTTCAACCTTATTCTGTTCGCTTTGAGCTGTACTTTCTAGATCGTAATAATTCCATCATTGAACTTGGCTCATGGCATTATCCAATTTTCTTTGATTTCCTTCCATCTTATCGTTTGGCTATCGTTCTCAAACTTCCAATTTGGTTTGGTAACAAAACGCTTGACCCTTGTACAAGTTCAAGTAACAGAAAATGTAATCGAAATTCTGAATGCAAACCAATCTTAAACTTGAACAATTCATTCTACTGCTCGTGTAAATATGGTTTCTATGGTCCACGATGTAATGAATATTTGTCTATATGCGATTCATATTGTTCATATGACTCAATTTGTAAGGCAAGTAATTATGGTAATTACGTCAAACCATTTTGTATTTGTCCTCGTTTTCATTTCGGCTCAAGTTGTCATCTGCGACATGACGAGTGTGACTCTTCTCCATGTGGTATACATGGAACTTGTCATATAACCCATGATCTTAGTGGAGAACGGCCATATCAATGTAAATGTAATGGAAAATATTACAAGGAAAATTGTCAAAATGAAAAATTATCCATTCGCATTGAGCTAAATATGAATAGCAGTCAAGCAGAAGCATCTGTCATCCAGTTATATGATGTTCATAGCGCTTCGTTGGATCTACTCTTGCAACATCAACAAGTTTACCATGGAATTCCAGCAATTATTCGTTACGATCACGAACGAGCTTTAGCACCTCTCCTTGGCGTGCTCAAAACGTATGAAACCTACAATAAAATATCGAACTATTATCTTCTCTACGTTCAATCTGACCGTTCTACCTTCAACATTATCGTAACACCAGAATCATGCCCGCATTCGTCCAATTTCTTAGATGGTAATAGAGTGACCTTTAGGTATCATGAAATATGTCGCAATCATCACTTCTGTTTTTATGATACGGAATACTTATGTATTTGTGAAAGCGACTATTATCGTGCCGAATGCTTTGGGCATGATCCTTTATTAGATAATTGCGATCTATGTCTCTCAAATGGGAAATGTATCAAAGGTGATATAAATAATGCAAACGATTTCATTTGTCTTTGTCCATATTGTCATCGAGGAAAATTATGCGAATTTAGTATGGAAGCTTTTGGATTTACGGTTGATTCACTTCTTGCACTTGATTCGATTACAATTCAACTCATTTATATCGTTCTAATATTTTTTCTCACCATTTTTGGTTTTGGCACTAATATTTGCTCGTTTGTCACCTTTAAACGACCTCAACCACGAGTGTACGCTGTTGGAAACTATCTATTGATGATATCTATCCTCAATCAGTGTGCCGTATTCTGTCTCTTCGCCAAATCTGCCCACATTCTTCTTGGATCATTTGGACTGACTAATAATATTTCATGCAAGTTAGTCAGCTATCTTCTCTCTGTACTAACACGATCATCATCTTGGCTCTCTAGTTGGGTCTCATTAAATCGTTTATGTTTGATTATAAATCCTACCTCTATTCGATTGAAAAGTCCTCGCATGGCTACTAATTCAAGTATTATCACAATTCTTATACTCTTTTTCATGCAAATTCATGAAGTTTTTATTTACACAACAATTCGTCAGCCCGAGCAAGATGTATTACAATGTGTCACTAATTTCAAACAGAAGAATGCAGCCATCTATGATCGTGTATTATGTCTATTTCATTCATTAGTTCCCTTTTTGATACAAGTTGTTGCAATTACTCTGCTTATTATTTTGGCAGCTCATAGTCGATCAAGGACAATTAGTGACGGAGGAAGAAAGAGAAGTTTTGGTCTTGTATTGAAGGCACAGATGAAAAATCAAAAAGAATTATATATTACACCAATAATCATCGTTCTGTCAGGTCTACCACAAGTCATACTCTCCTTTACTTTGGCGTGTACTCAATTGAATGATTGGAAACGTCATAGTCTTCTTATTGCTATTCTTTTCTCCTACGCACCGCAAGTATTGGGCTTTTTTCTCTATGTTCTTCCTTCGACTATTTACAGAAAAGAATTCAGTCAAACTTTTATTGGTCGCAGATTTTTCAAAACAATAGAAAATAACAAACGATAAAAAATGAACCTATGAATCAGTATTATTGCTAAATAAAAACTTATTTGATTTCCATCAAAGATACCAAGTTTATTTTCATAATATTTTAAGTTATGAAACATGTGATGGTTGCCAATTGTCGGATTTCTCTTTCTGTATGTAAGGTTCTGTGTTTATATAGACCAGAGATCACAGACTCGCCAAGTTTTCTGGCCAAGTTAACTCGTCCACTTAACATGTAATTATTAGTGATTAAATAGTAGATCACTAATGTTATCTCCCGATTTTATTGTTCATTTCTTAAAGAATAGCTATTGTTGATGAAGTTGAACTAATCACAACAACAAATGAGTATGAATATTTACGTAAACATGGTTATCTATTTAGTTTTGACGAACAATTCCATTTAGGCCCCAAACAGACTGACTCCATTCAAAGCTAATTAAGAAATATGGTTGAAGTTACCCATGTAACGATGCGAATTGCATTGATTAATTGACTTTGAATTAAGTCAGTCTGTTTGAGACCTTACACCATTACTATTGTGAATTTAACTAATCTTACCCTAGTTAGGGTGTGGGTGTGGGTATTAAAAAAAATTTTTTTTTTGTTGGTTAAGATCAATAGTTATACTTAGCAATGAATTTCTCTGAGCATGTCTTTATGAGTACAAACTTTAAATATGCGTCTATCATTGATAAAAAAGTCAACTCATTTGCTTGAGTCATAACGGAGATATTCAATTTTTAGTCGATAAACTAACTTTTGGGGTGTGGGTGTGGGTGTGGGTACAGTCTTTAACCACACCCACACCTATACCCACACCCACACCCACACCTACACACACACCCACACCCACACCACACACCCACATCCACACCCTAAATGTGAACGAAGAGAATATGCATACCTACACTCTGCAAGATAATTATTAACATTGATTATTTTTTTACATTGGAACCGTCAAGAAAAAGATGGATGTAAACATCTTTTAGCAAAGATAACGTATGCTAATTACATCGTACGATTCATCTGTAGAGATCAAACAAAAGTTATTTACTGTGCGAACTTGTTTTCAATCTGCTTTCACAGAAAAGAGAATGCATGTGCAAAAGGTATACCTGAATAACTGCTTTCATTTGTTCACAAAAGTTTGATAAGCAAATGGAGAACGGTGTACCTTGTTTACTGTTATTAGTGATTGTTCCTTATTTCGAAAAAGCCCGACAAAAGTCAATACTAATACGATGTAAATGCGTGACGAGGAGATTCTCACTCATCCATCTTCAAATAATTTAATTTGACAGAGTAAAATTAGTAACAAAATGAACTCAACTTAATCATATATTCATACACAATGTCCTTTATCGGTCTTCCGTTGTTGAACTTGACAATAGCATCAATTTCGACTCTCAGTTTCTTGTCCAGTCTCCGTCAGCAATCATGAGGAAATAAAACTGATTTAATCGATTGATATTTATTTGTTCCACTATTTTAATGTGTTACCTAGATTGTTGAAAGTTATATGTCAAAGACATGTCTCATTTCAAAAAATAACACGGCAAAGAGGGTTGTAGATGTGGAATGTAGGTGAAGGTTCTACAAATAGTTTTACTTTTTAGGTTAAGTCACACTCGCATTCCGAGTTTTCTCTTGGTATATTCAAAATCTGAAACAGACTTATACTGACTGAGTTGTAAGCAAAACGCTGATCGTATGAAGACTTTTCCTCTTGAATGTATCAAATTTTAGTCTTTTGGCTTGAAAGAGAAAATATTCTGTCAAATGGATTTTTTTGAGAAAATTTATTTTTTATAGACATAGAAATTCAACTAGACAAACTGTAAGTCAGCACACTAACCATTCTGCGTTTCGATTCATATTATCAGCAGATAAGAATGCTATGCCATTTGAAGAAAAATAAGAAGTAGGGTGTGGGTGTGGCTGAGTGTAATTGAGTGTGTGAATCTACATTTTCTTCACTTACACCAACATATCTACTCCCAAATCTGCACTCATACACCTACACCCAACACCCATAGTTGCCCACGTCATCTGAGAAATCTATTCGGCGCGCTGGTTACTGAATAAAAAAACCTTGTAAGAGGTATTTTATATCTTTGGGACGTGTATTGCATTACAGTTAGAAACTTTGATCGAGGCCCTCGATGTTCTGCTTGATCAGATCTGGACCAAAAAATTGTAAACTGATACGCACGGTTTGAGACTTTTTAAATTATAATCTGCAGGGTTTGTATGTAGATATTATTTGACGATACAGGTATGACGTTATAAGTGTGAACGTCGATGTTAATTTAGAAGAAGAGGTGATGCATGCCCAGTTGCTGGGCAAAAAGTTGGTGTTTGCGTCTAAGTAATTGATACTTGATCGCATCTCCATGATGTTTGCGTTTGTTGACTTCAGATGATTGCTCGCATTTATTGGGTTAGTAGCTGATTCTCATGTTTTAGAAAGGGATGACAAACATACCATACTCACATCCAATTGATAAGACAAGAAACATTTCTTTTTATGAAACTCAAATCCTAACATGTACTATAGTTTCTTTTAGTGGCTTTCAAATTTCTCTAATTCAATAAATTTAGCATATGGACACATTAAAACTTCAGTTAAATTTTATGTGCAATGTAGATGAGTTTTACTAATGACAATGAAGGAATTCTGTTTTTTTTCGGTATGAATCGAATCCAAATTTTGTTACTTGTTTCGGTCTCTATTTTTCACCCAGTAAAAATGACTAGAAGGTCAGCACGTATTCAGAAGTGAATGTCAGCAAGGATTACTATAAGAATAGAACAGAAAAAAAAACAGTTTTTTTGGACTGAATCTCTACTTTTTTCTCGATGATCCCCTTTGAAATTGACATCATTCAATAGAGAATCGAATTTTGCACACATCACAACTGATCAGAAAGTCAGCACCGATTCGGAAACGAGTGTCATCAGGAAAAACTTCAATCCGCTGCAACCTCTGCTGAATTCATGACTTCAATTCAATTTAATAGACTATTTTCATATGTTTGTTGTAGTTCAAAATGATAATTTTTGAACCTCATTCCATCATTGCTAGATTTTGACATAACGATAGAAAACTATGTTCGGTCACAAGCTAGCTTCAAACAGGTGATATTCATCGTTTAGTCGAGCTATGTACACTAAGACTGGCACTTTAGCTTTCCTCTAAAGTTAAATTTAAAGCTAAAATAAGCGTACTTTAAACTTTAACTTTTAAAAACTCAAGGTAAAAGTCCCATTCCTAATTATCTTACTATATCTATATTAGCTTGTTTTCGTAATGCGAACATTTTTCTGTTTTTTCTCGCAATTCTGCCTTCCGAATGCTTTTTTTCTCTTATTAAGAAAACGTGTTTCTCTCTATGTTGCATATGAGAAAAATAATACAATTGGCACATCTTTCATCAAGAGTATACTCGCATTTAATAAGTAAGACGTGAAATCGATTGAACTCGTCGATGCTTCTACTGTATCAAGCAAAATGTTGGTTTTCTCCGTTTTGATTTGTGGACTCGATATCCTCCAGCACTAGAACTTGATTGAAACCTTAAATTATAAATATGACCATCAATAGAAGAAATATCTGTATGTGAACTTTTAAAATAGACTAACACAGATCAAGGAATGCAGAGCCCACATACGCCTGTAAACAGTTACATACAGTTTTCGTTTACAAAATCGTAAAAGAGCTGTTCTCTGTATATGATACGCATATATACGATCGTAATACTAAGCGATGTGTATCGTTGTATTTCACTGGATACAGTTGTAAACAGTCTGAGAATAGAACAAGAGTCAAATTTGTTGGATTTCACCAGTAGAAAGCAAATTAAATGAAATTAATCAAATTTACTTTCAATAGAATCAACAAACCAATAATTGAATAAAGATAACAGTAAATAATTCACTGTATTTATGTTTATACTATTATATTAAAAAAAAATCACCTGCTAATAGGTTTGTTTATTTATTATCATCTTTGTACTTTTGTTCTATTAACCAGTGTTTAATGTCTGTCTCATTATTTTTTTTCTTCAAATATTTTAGGATCAGTTATTGAGATGTATAGTGTTTATTAAAGTATATACTAAAAATAAAATGGTGGGCATGCAGTACAAAAGATCATTATAAATATTAGTTTTTCTTTTTCATAATGTGATGTATTAGTTCATTTGTTCAACCTTCTCATAAACAATAATTATCATGCTTTCTTTTTTAATCTCATTGAAAGCTTTTCATTATTATATGAATAAAACATTTCTTTTCTTTTTCTTTTTTATTTTTAAACTTGCCCTCGCTTGATATGCAAATGTTATTTTCATTTATATTTACCACGCAGAGTAATATCATAGGTTAATCTTGCAACAAAAATTTGGTCGTTTTAATCGATACAGAAAAATAAATTATCATAGAATCAAGGTATGATTACTGAGTTTTTATAAATCGTAATTTTATTTATATATATATATATAAACGAGTGACTTGCGTAACCATTGTGCAGTTTGGCAAAAAAAAGTGCTAGTGCCAAGAGAAAATAGCCTATTGCATAGAGATTGACTATAGATTTCACAAAATGTTTGTGATTAAAGGCAAATCGTATGATGCATAATAAGTTTAAATCTACAATTATTTTAGTTGAAATACAAACAAACGAATCTTAGTAGACATTTTGTTCAAAAAACCAGAATGAAGAAAAAGTTCTGAAAAAAAAATGTTTTTAGAAATCATCATTAGTATATAAACTTAGTACTAATCTCGGTGGACAGAATTTGCAAAAAAAAGTATTGAAACGGACATTTTTGATAGCATTAGATCCAAATCTGATTTTATTTTCAAATCAAAGTAGGTATTCTGAAAGTCTGTTTTTTTTCAAGCTACGAAAATCTCTAAAAATCGTTTAAAACAAGTTTATATAAATTGGAGAAAAAAAATGATTCTTTCTACATGTAGAATTTAAAACAGCTGTTTTTTTGATCTTGGTCGACATGCATCTCGGCATTCATTTGAGATGGAAAGTTCTTTCTTTTTCTTCATAAATGAATGACTATTTTTAAATCAACTAAATAAGAAAAAGAAATCGTTAAGCATAATAGGTATTATGAACAAAATACTAACCGAACAATGATTATGCAATTTATTAAAATAAAATTTATTTTTCAACAGATGACTTATAATTTGAAATAGTATATCAAAACAAATTTGACTTCTCTTAATGCACATTGTAAATCTTTGAAAGAAGAATATGATTTGCAATGTTTATTACAGTATGAACTTTTGAAAATAAATTTTTTCAAAAAAAAATAATTATTTTATAAGGTTAAGAGTAAACTGATGAATTATTTGTAATTAAAGCTTGGATACAAATTAACTTGATTGCATCATATAATTAATAACTAATGTATCTAATATTGAAGAATGACAATATTATGGTGCTGTTATTTAAATATATTTAAAAACAAAAGAATTTTATTGACACATGTCATGACTAATTTGATAAAATCCATTTAATACAAAATTGAAACTATATTATTATCTATAAGCTATATTTACTTATTTCTTCAAAAAAAGAATCATCAAATGCTCAATGATTACATTTCTATTTTCACATGTAAAAATTCAATGAGAATATTTTTAAAAATGGCCATGTATAAGTACATACTTACTATAAATATATTTTATTTCATTGCAGAAATCATTATGTTTAGCATATACGAACCTGTCGATTATAATATTATATTTATAAGGGAAATAAACGTTGCCATATGATAATATATTTAAAGCATACATGAGTGTTTTTATTATCTTAATGAATATATCTCAATATGACAAGCACAAATACTTATAACATCCAATCTAAATAGTTTGTGCCTGACATAGACAGAAAAAATGCCTACGCTTAAGTGACTATTAGGTTATAGAAAAGAACAAGTTTAAGTTTTGAGTAGGTATGAAAAAAAACACGCATCGATAATAAAAAAAAGAACATGCATGTCAATAGTGGCATTCACTCATAACAATGAAAAAAAACAATTGAGACATTTACAGCATAGATCTATTGATGTTCGTTGATTGTTCTTTCTTTCTACTAATAAATGAAAAACTTATTTATCATCGTGATCTTAGATACTTTAATGTCATATGGTAAAAAAAAAATCGATCATTATTTCTTGATCGTACAATTTGATTGAAATATATAATTGTTTTTGTGAGTACTACTTGTTTTTTTAATATTACTTATCGACGATTGAAACAAGTGTTTTGTTGAATACAACAAGTCATATAATTTGTTTATTTTTCTAATAATCGTTATATTCACGACATTAATTCTTGAATTATAATTGAATTAAAACTATTTTGAAATTTTTCTTCAAGAAAAAACTTATTGATTGATATTTTTTTAGATTTCTTTTATTTAATAAAGTAATTAAGAAAATGCGTGAATATAAAATAGTCATACTTGGTAGTGGTGGTGTTGGTAAATCAGCATTGACTGTACAATTTGTTCAAGGATTATTTGTTGAAAAATATGATCCAACGGTTAGTTGTGTTTATAAGAGAAATTCTTAAATATATAATTTTTATTCTCAATAGATTGAAGATAGTTATCGAAAACAGGTAGAAGTCGATGGACAACAATGTATGCTGTAAGTTTGAATTCTAGAAGAAAAACAGAACAGTATTTTTATTTTTATTTTATTTTAGTGAAATTTTGGATACTGCTGGAACAGTAAGTCTTTTGAAAATGTCATTCTCTTGTTCTTTTATAAAAACATGTGAAGTAGTTTGAGATCTTTCTATGACTTTTTTTTGTTTTAGAATAATCTAGAGGTATTACGCTTATTGATCAATAAAAAAAATATAATCTAGTCACGAACTATTTTGATTGTTTTTATTTTATCTAATCTAATATTTAAATACATATTGATTGTAGATAAGTAATAGTTTCGATCTTTGCATCGGATCATATTAAAAATAGATTTCTACAATTATAGTCATAGTAGCATATTCAATTTATTATTACTTATTTTTGATAATAATAATCATGAAAGGTAAAAATGCTAAATATCAAAAGCTAGAATGCCGATAATCATAAATTCTTGTAAATATTACGTGAAAAAAAAATTTTTTTGATCAATAGAATGTAATAAATCACACATGCACATAGCGCAACGGCGAAGTCTATCATTAAATCATTAGAAAAAAAATATCTTAAAGAAATCTTTTCCTCCTTTTACAGTCGCCAACTGCAATATATGAGAGTTTTTGATATTCATACAATATAATATATCTTAAATATTTTTTTCAGGAACAATTTACAGCTATGCGAGATTTGTATATGAAAAATGGTCAAGGATTTGTACTTGTGTATTCAATAACTGCTCAATCAACATATAATGATCTTATTGATTTACGTGATACGATTCTTAAAGTAAAAGATACAGCTGATGTAAGAAAAATTTTGTTTTTCATGTATAGTTTTTATCTATATATATTTTGTAATAATTAATATAGATACCAATGGTATTAGTAGGAAATAAATGTGATCTTGAAGATGAACGTGTAGTTGGAAAAGAAGTTGGTCAAACATTAGCATGTCATTGGAATTCAACATTTTTGGAAACATCTGCAAAACGAAGAATAAATGTTAATGAGGTTCGAATTTTTTTTAATATATTTTATAAAAAATAAAATAATTAATTGTAATATTATTTAGATATTTTTTGATCTTGTTCGTCAAATAAATAAACGAACAGCAGTAAATAAAGATAAAAAAACGAAGAACAAAAATTCTGGTCAGACTAGTAACTCAAATCCATCAGCTTCAGATGGAACAAATGGTATTGGTATCTCAAAAACAAATTCATCAAATAAAGCAACTGTTTCAAATAATCAAGACTGTTGTATACTTTTATAAAATTTCAAAAGATATATATTTTCTATTTTGCTTTTCTTATGGCAATCCTACGTTACATAATGTTCGTTTTTTTTCTGCTTAGTTCAAACAGAAAATCTTTTTTTTTTAGATCTTATTTGTTCTGTAACTATGAGAAAAATCATTCATGTATGTGTTTGAGAAGCAAATCTTTCTATGTGAGAAAAAAAATGAGATATTAAATTCATTCTTTCGAGTTTGACTATTTTTGCTTTTTACTTTAATTGTATGCAGATAGAATCAAAAGATAAACAATAGATAAGAATAAAATAAGCTTTGGTTGAATTGATGTATCTCGAGATGTTGTTGTCCGTTGAAGTTGCACTTTTTGTTCAAGAATTGAGTTATCTGGGAATACATTCTAGGGTGAATAGAAAATTGAATTGACATTAAACAAGGCACTCCTAAAAATTCTGACGAGAGAACGTTTTCAATTAACTGATTGTGTTTTCATTGAAAGTTAGTACATTACAGGTTATGCACCATGCTGATTTCGAATATAGCAATCAGAAATCCTCTTAGGTCTTCATGTGCTAGTGTTCCGAGCTAACAAGCTTTTTGCCACCAACAGTAAATTTTTCTGTTTCTAATCGGTTTCTTTTGCAGAAAATACAACCATTTTATTTCATCCAACCGATGTATAGCAAAGCTTCAATGTGAAAATCTTCAAGATGATATTATTTTTGCTTAAAATTCATGCTTGGCAAACAGAAAAGATTATTGTCTGAGAAACAATTCGATAAACTCTATAATCTAAGTAGGTCACACATGATTTTGACGGAAGTTTGTTAGCCTGGAAAACCAGCATATAAAGGTTTAAGTGAGTTTCTCATGATTAGATTCGGAATCAACATGGTCGATAACCTGAAACCCACTAGCATCCGATAAAGAAGCGATTGATTAGTTGAAAACCCCTGGACAGATGCTCAGATTAGGTGTGTGGGCATAGATGAAAAGAAGACCTACACCCCACACCCTAGGAATGACAAAGATAAATGTAAGTATATGAATAATAAATCAAGTATTCTATTAACATAGTTTAAATTAAGACTAAAGAATCTTAGCTTTCTTGCATATGTGAATATTGTCAATCAATCAATTTGACCAAATGTTCTTATACGGATTTTCAAGTTTATCTCTATTTATTTGTTAATAAACATCTTCAATCGTTGACGTTAAGAATGTGCAATATTAATGTATACATACAAGCTGAAATGTTTTTTGATGCATTTTATTCATTAATAAAGTCTTGTTCTAATTACGTTCTCCGGTTGCCACTACTAGAATGCATAAGGAGCAACATCTTCAATTTAGTTTATTACAATCATTATATATCATTGAATCTATATCAATTAAAAAAGAATCGTCAACTGACTTCGTGAAAATAGAAAGCCTTTGCAATTTATTATTCAATAATAATTTGAATTCACTCACTGAGCTTGAATTGAATATAAAAGAGGGCGTGGTTCTTGATAAACACCAATGTCAGAAACATCTCAAACAATTGATGGTTTGACGTCTAATCTAATCTTGCTTAATGTTACTGTACGCGAATCTAGCGTATGTAAATAATCACTGGTACCATGACTTTAGTCACGTCAATTGATGATGCATTTGGTTGAATTTGGAATAACGACCGAAGGACAAGTAGCAATTACATTTAATCATTGACCTGGAACGGTTATGCCTCTCATTCAACTCGAAAGATTCACACTCGATGTAAAATAATGGATTAGTAATGATCAACAATTTGTAAAAGACGATCGAATTGAAGCGTTATTTCCCCAATGCATGTCTCGACTTCATCAATTTCATTGTTTTTTTCAGACAGTCCATGAATATTTATTCAGATTTTTGCAACACTAGACAAACGTTGGTCTTTAGCAAACAAATCGAAATCAAATGGTTTATATACATATTTGTACACACAATTCCATAAGCATTTGAATAACTTGACATATTGTTGATGTATCATGTACAAATTTATTACGACGTTTTTCAAATATTCATACGCTCACCGTTCTGGTTAAATACAATATCTTTCGTGATGATTATGTGAAATTTCGTAGAGTTCGCCATTTGAAAACAACTAATATTAATATGATTTTGTTTCTTTCGATAAAATGTATTCAGATATTAACGTTATTTGAACGATTCGAGTTATTGAAAGATCCAATAATTTATTCCAATGTGTTACATTTGATATCGGAAAAGAATAAAATAAAGTCGTTGAATAGATTAGCACTGATTGTTTTCAATATTCTTTGTTCCGCTCTTGTATCACATCTATTCGTTAATTTGTTCCATTACAAAGTGTATATATTCGTTGTTCAAGCACAAACATATTTTCATCAACATGAAATACAACAAACTATCAGAGAAACTTTACTATCTGTATTCCGAAAAATCATTTTCGAAAATGCGATAATTGTCAAGTCGCAAAAGCTCTGAACTTGAATTTATTTTAATCGAACTTTGTCAAAACTTTTCTTGAATTTATACGCAGTCTTCAAGAAAATTTGAAAACTACGAAAAAAATTTTGATTTACGGTGTGAGGTGTGAATGCAGTCGAGAAGTAGTGTAGATGAGGATGAATACCAGAACCCCACTTATACCCACATCCTTTTTTTCAAATCCAAATCTACTCATAACAGTTTTTGTACAAGCCCTTTTGCGTGAAAGAATGCTACGAATCAAAGCTTAGTAATTCTATTGAATATTAGCGCGCTTACTACGACTGTATTCAAGACCTTACCGCATAAAACTTTAATGAAGATGAAACGAATTGTCTAGGTTCTTTTTGTAGTGTTTTTATTTGCACGTTCTTGTTTTCATTCATCGTCAAAGTAAAAAATAATAGTGTTTCATAAGTCTTCAGACGCAACAAAATGAATTGCAATCCAGACAGAGAATAATTTCAGAGTGAAAGATTTTTATATGAGCATTACAACAATCTTATTTAACCAACACGTATTTGTTGTTCAATACTTTGTGTTGATTCGCTAAATCTAGTAGGAATTTTATCCATCATTGCAAGTTTTCGACTTTTATTCTGTGTTAAGTACACTGTATTTTTCGTACTTTGTATTGAATATTCCTAATTGATGTTCAATGAGCGATACATCTGTAAATTTAGCATCATGTGATTGAGATCAAATTTCATAATTAAATAATTCGTCAATAGTTCAAAATGGAATCATTGCTAATTGGTTTTTCGCTATAAACACACAGTTACTGTTTATATAATTGTGCTGAACATGAAAGCAGTAAGATCATGAGGGTGTGGGTATTAAAGAAACAACATTGACACTCACATCTACACCCTAGCTGTTTTTTATTAATCGTTTTCTTAGTATTTAAATTCAAAAAATTAAAGTTTAATTTTTTTTCATCTAAGAAATGAGAACACATTTAGAACAAGAAAAAATGATAAGAAAAATTCATATTTTGCGTCATAATGATGAGAATTTTTCGAGTTATGACTACATATACTTATAAATTCGAATAA